ACCACACAGCTGGTAGGCACCATGAGGGAGAGATTTGGGGGAAGCCCAGAATCTCTCATTCCCACAAGTGCTTTTTGGTACATGTTTCTTCCCTGCCTTTGTCCCAGTGGGTTTGCACTATTTTTCAAAATCCACTTAAAATAGCAAAAGCAGGTCACTGGACTACACTGGGCTCTGGTTTCCACAATTTGACTTCAAATTCAGTAGGTGCCAATCTGGAGGCTTCTCCTGGCTTTCATCTATGCATCAACAAAGGGGCCACAGTCACTGCGACTCTCTTGTCCAAGTTCCCCCATTCCTCCCTACTCCTACTTTTGAGACAGCCTAGGTAGAAGAAATGGAGAGCTGCTGGAATGAGTTGCTCCAAGTTCTGTTTGAACAGGTGGACTGAATCATGGACTGACGGCTCTGCCTAAACAACTGGGCCACCACACTGACCATGAGGAGCCACGCGAGACAAAAATCCTTGGCTCCTGACAAACGAGGGTCTCACCATGTCCTGGAGCAGAAGGTGAGGGCCCCGCATGCGCAGTGCAGTTGCCCATCATGCCCAGGCATAGCTGACCCGGAAGTAGCTATTTCCGTCGGGCCTCCTGGACCTACCCTTTAAGTACCTCCTCCCCTTTAACTATCTCCTGCTAATTTCTTTGGAGCAAAGAGCTAAATGTTCCAGCACGGGTCTCCTCACTCCGGCCCCGCCCCTCCCGAGTCTTTTTAACAAAGCCTTGCCTTCAAGAACACCCAGTGGCGCTCTGGTGGATTCTTTCCCTAAAGGGCAAAAAAAACTCAATTTGGGGTTGGGAGCCTCTAATACTTTCGGTAGATTATTTTTGCTTCCTGCTTTACCAGGATCAACTTATGTACCTTAAGGTCGCCGTCTCTTCATTCACAGTTTCACTGAGGCTAGTGCTTTCTCTAACTCTTCCTTTTAATCTTAGTCAAATGGGTTTCTTCCCTCAGAAAAACGAGACTTTCGGTGCATAGCTCAGAAGTTCATGCTTTCCCCCTTCTTTGCAGTCTTTCCCTCTCGCGTCATCTGTGATGACGTCCAGCCCTGTACCCATCCATGCTCTTTCTCAGTCCCGAGGCATCGTCATCAGCTGACGTCATCAGCTGACGTCCCCTCTGCAGGAAACTTTCCTGCTTATGGTATCACCGCCTCTTTCTGAAACTTCTCCACTGTCTTTGGCTGTCCTTTGTCCCCTCTGTTGTTTAGGGCCTCAGTGTCCACTCCTTCCACACTATTCTCTGGTGGGCTCCATCCCAGCCTTGCCGGGCACCACTTTAGACACAGGAGCACAGCAGCAAACAACAAGACAGAGTCGTTTTCACAGAACTTCCATCCTGCTGGGAGGAGGCAGAAAATATAAGTCAGGACATGAATTAAAAGTAAGGTAATTTTGGAGAGTAAGAAAAGCTAGGGAAGAACAAGAAACAGGGTAATGAAATAGAGAGAAACTTCTGGTGGAAGAAATAGACAGAAACCAGTTTCGAAAGAGTGATGTGATCTGGGAGTGTCACACTACGAAGTCATTTGAGGCAAGACCAGAACACAAGAGAAACCAGAGTGAGAGAATTCAGAACACAGCAGATATCAGGTGGGAAATAATGGGGAAAATATATTCCCAGTTTATAATGGGAAAAAGCTTGGTAAGTTTGAGGAACATTTTAAGAAACTCAGGTGTGACTAGAATATTGTGGACAAGACAGGAAATGGTAAACATGAGTAGGAAGAGATAGCCAGAGCCCAGGTAGGCCCTGGTGAGGGGTCTAGGCTTGATATAATGACAAGGCAAAGCTATTGTCTTTTAGCAACAAAGATGCAGGATCTTATAGTATTCAAAGAGTGTTCTGCCTACTGTTTGGAGGCTAGCATAGAAGAGGTGATTTGATGGTTTTAATGATGATGATCATTTTTAATGATCATCAAATTGGAAATGGTAGCTTTCAGAAAAATAACAGCAAGAAAGTATAAGAACCAAAATGACAGGAAAGAGAAAATGATAACTTAGACAGTTCAAATGAGTTTTAAAAAACTGTCAGTCAAATGTATTTGAGGAACACAAGGTGCTTGCAGGAGTGACTGAGAGGCTCTGCCAAAAATCAAGGGAAATGACAGAAGACTGAAAGACCAGATGCTCCTGTTTTCAATACAGGAGCACTATGGAAGTAGCTAATGCAAACTAGAAGCAAGCACATTGTTCCCCAAACCTCGTGTAAAATCTTCAAAGTGATTACTTAAAAAGGAGCTGGTGAGGCCCTCCCTGGTGGCGCAGCGGGTTAAAGCACAGCACTGAGAAGCTAACGCCACTTCCACATGAGTTCGATTCCCGCCTGCCCGGGAGGTGACCACATGGCGTGGCAGACCTCTCCTGACCTGCCTGCTGCTCCCCTCAGCAGTGTACTTCGTCTATCTGCCTGTTCTGCTCCCTGCTCTGTCTCTGGTGAATCTTCTCACCCTCAGCATCTCTGGCTTGTACCCCAGTTCTGTATGAATAAATAAATCTTTAAAAAAAAAAAAAGGGAGCTGGTGAGCATTTAGAAAAGGGCACTATGATTACTAAGGAATTAGCAGAAATTGAAATAAGAAAAATGTATGTAAATCTAGACCAGTCCTACAGAAGGTATGGCATTGGTTGGGGTAGTGGTAGTAGGGAGGTTGATGGAATTATCAGACTGAAAATATTTCAGCCATTTGGGTGAGACTACTGATAAAATCATAGAATCAAAAATGGTCAGAATTTTAGCAATACTGTATTCTACATTACTAACCCTTAGAAGCACCACCCACCCCCAACATCCCAGTAATTATTTAACCAACAACTGCATGAATATAACGAAAGACAATTCATTCCACTTTGGAATGGTTTATACTTCCTTGCTGAAAACATGTTTCCATGCAAATGGAACATATTGATCCAAACTCTTCTCTGGACCATTATAAGTCTAATTCCTTTCACATATACACTTTGCTTTACAGTTGTCAGAATGTGTTATGCTATATATATGGAAAACAGGGAACAATATTTGGGTATTTATTTATGTCTGCCCAGCCATACTAAAGGAATGTAACTAGTAGCTCATTGTCAAGCAAGAGTGAGGTCTCTAAAGCATGACAAAGGACTCTGTTGTTGTTTTCTTTCCTGTCCAAAAAACCCCCATTTGTATTAAGTGATTGTTAAGCCTAGAGATAAGATAAAGCAAAAGAAGAGAGGTATATTGGGTGACTGAGTATGAATTCAATGAAAGTACTTACAGGGTATAATCACTGGTTAAAACTAATACATTTTAATGGCAAAAGTGCTAAATTTCATATTTTTTCCAAAACCCCTTGTATAAATACAAAATGATACTGCAAAAGGTCAAGTGAAAAATAACTAAGGACTTCAACTGACCATAACTTCATTATGAGTGAATTATAACAGTATCTGTATTTGAATGAACATACCCTCTAAATCAAGTATGGCTATAATTCCCCTGGACTTAAATTCCCATGGAAATAATTCGCCTGTTCATCAGGTCATACAGGGAACATCAGTTCCTGTTTTGGATATCTTTTGAGATTCATGCAGACAAACTCAAATTCTTCCTTGATCAGAGGTTTTAAGATTGGAAACTACTTAGGGGGAAAAAAACAAAACCTGAAAGAAATGTATAAAGCTTAGCCCAAAACCCAAAATAGAATCTTGGATTACAGTGTGGGGAAGCAAAGCTCTTTTCAGGGAAACAATTTTAGTGAGGTATGGGGAAGGGAGAGGTGTGTATCGAATTCAAATGAATGTAAAGAACTTCTCTAAACAATACTTGTGAAGTTCTTATCAATGAAATAGGTGAAACCTGTTCATCAGGAATGTTTTTGGGAGAGCTATGAATAGGAAAGGAGGTTGAATTAAGTCAACTTGAACTTCTCATCCAAGTCTAATACCCCATGGTTAAGGACTGGTCTTCAAAACAGTATAGAGTTATAGCCTTATGGCTCTCTGCCTGCGGAGGAAGATTCTATCTTGGGGAACATTCTGTTGCTCTGTGATATTTAGAGGGAGAATTTCTCCTGGGTATGGTTTGCTTTGCAGTCAGCTGTTACTCTGCCGTTCTTTTTTGGACCATCACCGTGAAGCTTCCCTTTTTGGAAAGAGAAGAGGAGGGGGCGGAGTGGGGGAGATACAAAGGTTCTTCCACTTCAGTTCCAGACATTCCTAATCCGTTAGGTCAATTTGAGTTTATAACTAAATTTAAAGGTTCAAGTTTCTCTTTCAGAGATGGGGTGGGGGGGGGAAGTGGCGGGGCTGAAACAGCTGCTAGGACTAGGGAGTGGCTAATAGTTGGAAGAAGCCAAACCACAATCTTTCAGCTTCTCAAAAAGGAAAAAAATGATTAGTAAAAGGTGATTAGAGCAAGAGAGAATTGCCCCACCCCCAATACCACTCTTTAGCTGACATTTGGATCACCCCACTGGGTGAGGAGGTGAACAAGGGAACAGGTGCACCTCAACCCTACCCGACTTCTCTTAAGCAGGGATTATCATGCTGTGTTCAGTGTGCCCGGAACTAATTAATCAGAGCTAGACAAAGGATAGCCTGAGAGAACAGGAGGGAGTTGCGGGGGGGGAGGGGGTCTCGGGGGTGAGGAACATAAGACAGGAGCCATGTACCGTGTACATTATGGATGACATCACTGCCTGAAAGAGATTTGGCCCTCCCCTTCCCGGAGCTGGAGGCAAGCATGTCTGTGCAGGAGCAGCAGTAGGTTGCTTGGAGGGTGCAGATTGGTGGCAGGAGGTGTGCCTGCGCTGGGGAGAGGCATGGAGGTGTGAAACCGAGACCTGGAGACAGAAAGCGAGGAAATCGCAGAGCCTGGAGGCGGTTGCGCTGCTTAGGGCTCCGCCCCCCTCTCGGCGCTGGTTCAGCCCTGGGAGGGAGGGACTCGCCTGTTTGGGGGTGGGGAGTGTTTGTGCACGAGGGGGTGGGTCCGTGGTGGCTGTAGGGGTGGAGAGCCGCCTGCGCATGTCAAGATTAACTGAGCACACACACCAACAGGGGACCGTGGAGGAAGACAGCTAGTCGCCGCCACCCAAGACCGGGACCCTGCTCGATCTGGGGGCAAGCTTCGTAGAAGAAATCTACTCTACGTACCCACCCCATTCACCTCGTGGGCTAAACAGAAGTGTCCACATATTTCCCGATCCCTCAGGATCTCCCTGGAGATCCGAAGGCGGGTGTGGACGGCACCGTGGTGAAACAAATTCAGTAGCTCAGACGGCCAGCCCAGAGTGGTTTTGGGTGTGGGGGCACGCCCAGCAGGAAAAAGCAGATCAGGGCGGATGAAGCCAGAGTTCTCGGGTCTTGGCGGATGCTGGTCGGAACCTAACTAACTAGAGGAGGTGAGAGGATGATCAACATGGACTCGTTCGACAGCCTAGCGGCTTAGAGCCAGCGGTGCAGCTCACTTTCGAGCTGAGCATCCCCCGAGGCGCAAATGAGAGAAGCTGCAGCGCAACTGGAATCCAAAGTTCCGGGGTGGGCGGGGAAGGTGCTGTCCGTGGTGCTGAATCGGATCCCAGCAACGGGCTCCGGGGAGACCGCGCGGGGTTGCAGAATCTTTCTCTAACTAGGGCTGTTCTCCTGGGCAGCTTCGAATTGCAACCCTAGGCCAGTTCAAAGCCTCCCCTGGCAAGGGTGCTTCCCCCTTCTTTCTGCCAGTAAATCGCCTCACTGGGGGTCAGTTCTTCCCAAGGGTTTCCTCGAAAGTATACGAGAGGACGTAGTTGACCTAGGGAATCTCTGTTTAGCCCCGGAAGCCACCTACAGGAAAAAGATGCCTGCCTTCAACAAATTGTTTCCCCTGGCTTCCCTTGTGCTCATCTTCTGGGGTAAGTACCAGCACCCTGCCATGCGAGATGCAATAGCAGTAATAATGTTAACAATAATAACACTTATTAGTGCTTTTGGTCACAAAAAGGAGCCCTGCTTGACTTTCCTCTGTGCATGTTGGCCAGACATAGGGGCTCCATGAAAGCTGGGATTTTGAGATTGGAAAAATGCTTCCCCACTCTCCTGCTGCCTTATTCCTGAATACCCCTTAGTGATCCTCCCATTCCTGATAATTCCAAAGTATTTTTCCCTTTCTTTTGCTGAACCAAAATGCAGCTACGTTCATAAAAAAAAAAAAAAAAAACTCCATTGCAGTAACATTTGATTTGGCAATGAGGAGTCAGTTGGGAACCTTACTGTGTCTTCATACACACACACACACATAAATATATAAAAGCTGGATGCATGAATTAGAGTGAAAATATTCTAGGTGTTGACCTATCTGTTTAATTTTAATAGTGAATGGGAGGAAAACAGGTTTCAGACATTTGCTGCCATGTATTAGATAAACTGGCAGCAGGGAATTACATCTTTTGGCTGTTTTTATGAACATGTATTACTACAGTGCTTTGGTGTTTGGGGAGTGGGGTTTTATGCCTTAACAAAATGAATGGGTTCTTGCTTGTTTGCCTTCTGTGAAGGAGTGAGATGACCTTCTCCCTCCAAATAAGGGAGTTATTTCACAAATAACTACTGTTACATGTGCAATAGTAAGTGGAGTGTTATAAAAAATGGCATGGGGCAGGGTCATCTGCGTGTGTATAGAAGGACCACTAAGTCTATCTGATAATGTCTGAGTGTGTGACTGAGAGAGCTTTATTCCTCAGGATCTGAATGTGTGTGCTCTGTATGTTTAAGCATGCTAGATGGATAAGTGACAATGTGTGTGTGCGTGCAAGTGAGGGTGTGTGTGTTTGTGTGCGTGCGTGTGTTTGTAGTTGTTGTTCCATAGTTATGGGCATCATTGACTTGATTTTGACTAGATCCTCAGGTCAAATATAGGTATTCTTTAGAGGATATGTTGATTTCTGTGATTTACCTACCCCCATGCTAAAAATCAGTAACTAGGATAACTGGATGTGATTGTGTCCACTTGCCTTATTGAAGTCAGGCATGTGGAACTATACTTCTATGGTTGACATGAAACATTTGGCCTATGCAGTGGCAGATATACTGATGGGAATTTCCTCTTTGCCTTCATATCTCTTTATTGAGCTTTCAATACTAAAGCTGGCAGCCAAAATTATCTGGATTCTGCATGTGACCAGAAGCATAGCCAAGCTTCCTGTTGAACAAAATGCATGATGAAAGGACAAAACAGGAGAGTAAAGGCAGTCCCAAGGGCAGAATCACTGCCATCCATCCCCAGTAGAGTAGACCAGATTTGGAGATGAAGCAGACATAATAGATTGCCAGTGATCTCACCTGCCTTGAAAATTTAATGCTGGGATTTCCTCAGGGGAAGCTAGTATTATGAACATGAGCCTTAGGTGAGGTTAGTATGGCTGCATGAAAAAAAGAGTGTGAGTAAAGCAATGGAAGATGAAGTGATAGAGGAGTTGGGGGAGATTTATTTCTAAGCCCTGTCTATGTTTTTATGTCCCTACCTGGATTATGTCCCTACCAGGAGACTATACGCCAAGGATCTTTTGATGAGAATTTACAAAGCATGAATTGAAGTCTTAACTCTGCTGCTAGCTTGTTATGCAAAAAGAACCTCAAAGTATCTGGTTCCAATATGTTTAGAAGTTGGTGCAGACAATGTCTACATCCTTTTCAGCTGTATAATTCAATGATAGGAAAATATTTACAGAATATTGCTAAAATTGACAGAGTGCTCATCTGTCTCCTACCCCCACCCCCACCCCCAAAAAATACCTTGGGAAGAAGTGTGCACACTAAAACTTGCTGGTTCTCAGCTTCCTTGTAACCCTGAACATTAGTTTGCCAAACTGAAAAGCTGCCGAAGGGAAAGAGATGGCTCAGGAAATCTCTGAAATGTAAGAGAAAGGGCCTCCTACACAAAACTAATTTTTATTTGCATGTAATGCCAGTATTGGAAAGCCTTTAGGTTAGATGCATTCTCCCTCCCCTGGTGATTCTTCACATGGTGCAAATATGAATGAAAAGATCCTTTATTTTCTATATGTGTTGAAAACACTCTCTTTTTTCCCTTTTATAAAGGAAATAACAATAATCCAAATCCAATCTTTGCCTGATGTTTTACTGTTTTTCAATTTTCAAACCATTACTTCCTTTGATTCCATATTAATCCATAGGCAGGAGAAGGAGCATTGTTTCTAATTTACAGATGAGAAATGAGCTCAGGCAGAGGAAAGAAGTTAAGTAGAAATTGCTTGTCTCCTGATTTCAGTCTCCCAATGCTCATTTTAGTGCCTTTCATGGACCCATGTGCTACTGTGCCAGACTTCAAGAGGCCCTTCTTCCCCTTCATCACTCCCTACGCTCAATAACATTGCCTTTGTTAGAGTCTCACTCATTCTTTAGCTGCAAGTGCCTTCTATGCTTTTCTCCAGGTGGACTCTCCCAGATGTCCCTGTGTGAAGGAATGCTTTCCCCTCCTCCACCAGTAGCCCATCTTTCATCTTATTCTCTCAAGTCTCTCGGTGACTGGCTAATCTGAAAACCAGGTTATTTCAGAATATTAATATCTACAAACAACTTCACTTATTACCCTCTTTGGAAAGCATTTACATTCTAATCAAAGTCTAAATGCAAAGGAAACATTCTAGAACAAGCTGAGGAGTGCCCAAAGAAGAGAAATATCTGGGGGCATCTGAGCATCTGCCTAACCTTTCCTTGGCTATCTAGAGGATTTCATACAAGAGAGGCAGTGATGTACTGAAGACGCATGGAGAAAGAAACATACTTCACCTATTGACAGAAGGGAGCAGCAAGTCAAATGGCAAAGGGCAAGCACATGAGACTGAAAGGACTTGGTGGCCATTTTGCAATCCAAGATCTCATGAGCAGAGTTCTCATACTGTGACAGAACAGGATAAGGGGCACCCCAAATACCCCAAACCTCCCTACTCTAAAATAGGTTCTGCCATCTGCAGCATCAAGACAATACATACTCTAGCATGTAAAATCTTTAATGGAGAGGAACTATAATACCATCAATGTGGAACAAAGACAAAACAAGGACTATAGTTTCCAAATCCAACACCTTAAGTTACCCACCCCCTGGTGGATAAATGCTCAACCAAACAGGGTTGGCCCGCTGCAGGACCAGTGAGGCTTAAAAGCTGTCACAAGTCTAAGGCATCTCCTCATGGGGACACATAGGAAATGGGCAGAAGAGGCCCAGCACCTCTGGGACAGAGGAGCAAAATCAAGACAAACGATGCCTGTTAACCTCCCCATGGATCTCTCACCCACATCTGTTTCGATCAGCCCAGGACCAAGAAGCAAGCACAGCTTCTTCACTTGTCTCCCTGCTCCTGTGGCTCCTCCAGGTCCCCTCCGGACTCTCCATCATTTCTCCTTCCTTCTCCACTCTTCTCTCCCAGCTCAGCTCCACCCTTCCTTGGAGCGGGGGAACCTAGAACCTCCCCTTTCAGGCTTCCACTCTTACAATACCTTGAGGTTGGACTTTGACCAGATTAGTAGTAGGGCTTCCTCTCTGATGATACCTTGGATTATTATCATCTCCAGGGCAACTCCGGACACTGAGAGGCTGCTCCACGCACTGCCTTGCAAAATTCACCATCCTGGCTGCAGACATTCTGCCCTCCCCCCTCTTTGAACTATAAATGAACTAGGCCCATCTATTAAATATGAACCCATTTACTTGTTCACTAGCAGACATCACCTCTCACCTCATCAAAAACAATTATTTCCTTTCAAATTCCAGTAATGCCACTACTACTTCTGTCCAAGCAAAACCATCACTCAGAACCATCCCTCAGTTTGATCATCAGCCTCCTAGCCATTCTCTTTTCTTCCACCCTTACCCTCCTTCATCTCTTCATTTTATTTACAACATAACTTTTGTAAAAACTAGGCTGCATCATTCCTCTGCTCAGATCTCTCCAGCCCTCCCTATGTCACTCCAAGCAAAAGCCAAAGTTCTATCTGTGGCCTACAGGAACAGTCATGATGGCTTGGCTTTGTTTTTTCTTCCCTACCTGTTGCTTACTATTTCCACTTGGTTTGCTTTCCACATGTGTTTCTATCTGTCTCTTGAATATTGATATGCAGCTACCCCAGTGCAATTTCTTCCTGTGGCACGCTTTCCAACAGGTGCTTCTGATTTGTTTCATTCGGTGCCTGCTCCATGTCACCTTCTCAGCAAGGTAGCATCAGTAATCCTGTGTATGCTCTCTCTTCTCTGCTCCCTTTTATTTTTTCTTGTAGCATGTATTACAAGTTGACAATGTTTATTTTCTCTCTCCTAACTCTGAAACAGGCTACATGAGAGCAGGGATGTTCTGTTTCATTCCCAGTTGTATTCTCAGTGCCTAGAACAGTGTCTGGCTCCCTATGTTTGTGGAGTGAGTGAACGAATAAACATGAATAAAGCTATAGCAATTCAACTTACATTTACATATATTATTCCACAGAATCCTCATGAAAAATCTATTAGTTTCACCATTTTGTTGCAGAGAGGTTAAATAATAGCCCAAACCCAGGTCCGCAGTTCCAGATATCATCATTCTGCCACTATAACTGTCACTGCATTTTTTTCTATTCTGCTTTCCAAGTCATCATCTCAAGGTTACTTATCTTTACCATGTCTCGTTAAATATGCAGGTATCTGAAGGCTCCCTGCTATCGAGTTCTCAAAGCACTCTCTACCCTCAAACTTTTACACAGAATACATCTTCTTTTCTTTTTCTAACTGGGTTAATCAATACTTTAAAGTCATCACATGCTAAAGATGCTTTTGGCCAGTTTTGTCTATATATGACAGTCTGTCCATAAAGTAACAGCCCATATGCTGAAGCGAGAAACCCTCTTAAAGCAACCACAGCTTGCTTGAGAGTTTTCAAGCCACTTAATTTTATTTTATCTTTATGTTTTAAGTTTTACATCAATCATCATGTCAGAGTTTTTAAATTGTATTGAAAATTCAAAAAAAAAATTTTTTGGCCTTCTAAGTCAGTCAAATACAGTTTTTCATCATTTCTTCTTTGACTCAAAATGAGTTGGTCAGTTTCATTTTGAACTTGAAATAATGTTTTCCTCTGTGTTTTGAAAGAACTTACCTGCCAATAGATGAACACACCATTTGAGGGAACTAGTTTTTAAATGGGTATTTTAAATGGGTGTTAGTCTTTTTTTTTTTTTTTTTTCTTTAAGGAGTTTTATTGTTAATTCATGGAAATAATGTTTTCCTCTGTGTTTTGAAAGAACTTAC